AAGGAGGCTGAGTTCTAGGTAAAGAAAAGGGAAGCAAACCAGCTACAGATGAAGTTGGCCTAGTTCAAAGCTTTCCTTAGGTTTCACCACAGTTCTGACTACTGTAGATTTAAGCCAGACTCAAGTGTGCTCTACAAATGCATGCTGTGTAATGTGGTGACTGTTTGTGTTACAAACCTCAAAAGAGAGCCTGCTTCACTCTGATTGGTTTGCCTCATCCGTTAGAGCATCGGCCAGCAGACCAAAGAGTCTCGGTTTCGATTCCAGCCAAGGGCACGTACCATGGTCCCCAGCTCTGGTTGGGGTCATGCAGGAGGCAACCAATTGATGTGTCTCCCTCACATCGATGTTTCTCTCTCTCTCTTTCCCTCCCTCCCTCCCTTCCCCTCTATGTTAAAAATCTATGGAAGGATCAACAACAACAACAAAAAAGTGATGGAAAAAATGTCCAAGAAAAAAGTAGTAAATCTGACTACATGAAAAAATGCTTTATGATTGTTTATAGGAAAAACTCACTTCTAGTCTCTTCTACTCACATTCCCAATGCTTCTGACACCACATCAAGCAATTCTGTGACACCAGCTGAGTGTCCTACAAATCAATTCAGTTCTGACACTATCTGCCTGGTGTTAGCATCATATCTCATAGGCTATGGATTCAGTCCCACAAGACTGCCCATCCCCCACTTCAGAATGCCAATTGCAAATCCAGGTTGTCACTGATGCTTCTGACCAACTAACTACAATCAGAGGTTCCCATGACCCCCTTTCTCAGGTTCAATTAATTTGCTAGAGCAGCTCACAGGACTTGCGAAACCAGTTTATTTACCAGATTACTGGTTCATTATAAAAGGATATAACTCAGGAACAGCCATAGGAAAGAGATACACAGGGTAGGTCCAGAAGGGTCCTGAGTACAGAAGCTTCTGTCCCTGTGGAGTTTAGCTGTGCCACCCTCCAAGCACGTGGATATGTTCACCAACCCAGGAGTTCTCCAAACCTCGTATTTTGGGAGATTGTATGGAAGCTTCATCACATGGGCATTATCAATCATTAACTCCGTCTCCAGCCCCTCCACTTCCTGGAGGACTGGGGAGGGCAACCTTCTGATTATGGCTTGATTGGTCTTTCTGGTGACCAGCTCTCATCCTAAAGCCATCCAGGGGCCCACCAAAAGTCTCCACCTTAGAACAAAAGGGACTGCTGTCATCCAGGAAATTCCAAGGATTTAGGAGGTTTGTCAAGAACTAGGGTAGTCAAAGTTCAAATATTAGAACAAAAGATGCTCCTAGTGCTCTTATTACTTAGGAAATAATAAGAGTTTTAGGAGCTCTGTGTCAGGAACTGGGGGCAGAGACCATATATATGTATTTTTTCCTATTATTTCACAGTGGTATTAATATACCATATAAAGGTAATTAGAGTCCATATGGGGCCCCCCAAAGGAAGGACACCCACTTATTTAGTAGGATGGCACAATATCAGGGAAGCCTTCCCAAAAAGGACTTTAGGGATAAGGATATCCAGAGGCCAGTCATTGGGGACATAGCTCTTTTGAGAAACAGCAGGTAATCAGGCATGCGGGGGTGTTGGCAGGCAGAGAAAGTAGAGAAGGCAGTACCACAAAGAGCCTTGAGGGACTCGAATCCGTGAGGAAAAGATGGACTTCTTAATAAATGGTGCTGGTTTAACTGAAGAGCCATATGAAAAAAGATAAAACCGCCCTGGCCGGTTTGGCTCAGCGGTTAGAGCATTCACCTGCGGTCCGGAGAGACCAGGGTTCGGTTCCTGCTAAGGGCATGTACCTCGGTTGCAGTTTGTCCCCGGCCCTGGTTGGTCGTGCAGGTGGCAGCCACTCGATGTGTCCCTTTCACATCGAAGTTTCTCTCTCTCTCTCTTCCTCTCTCTCCCTCCCACTCTATCTGTGCAAAAAATGTCCTCGGGTGAGGATTAAAATAAATAAATAAATAAAAATAAATAAAAAATAAAAAAGATAAAACTGAGATCATTTTTCATACTGTCTACAATAATTTACAAAAATGAAACTATAAAATGCTGGAGTGGTAAAAATCTTGAAACTTGGTTACTGGCATTTTAGTCCAGCCTGTCGCTTTAACAGCCAGTTTATGGGAAATACAGGAGATAAAGGGATCTGTCCGACGCCAGACAGCACCAGATACAATCAGCAAAATCCAGACTGTTGTTCCTTCAGATTTTTTCTGCTGCTTTGTGAACGGCTTTCTTTAACAATTACATTTCCCACCCTACACCCCCTCCACAAAAGGGGGGAGGGATACCTTTAGATTAAAAGAGACTCAAAGACAGACATAGCAACCAATTGTAATATGTGGATCTTATTTGTACCCAATAATAATAATTTAAAAAACTTTAAAAAAGCAATTTTTGACATAAATGAAGAAATTCAAACCCTGTGTGGATCCTGGATAATTTTAAAGGATTATTAATTCTATTAAGTGCAATAATGGAAATATGTTTCGGTTAAAAAGAAGCAGCCTTATCTCTCAGAGATAAAGATTGAGCTATTTACAGATGAAATGGCAAGATCTTTGGTATTCTCTTTAAAATAATCCAGTAAAGGTAGGTGAGGGGAATAGAAGGTATAAATGAAATAAAACAGTACATTTGTTAATAATTATTAAAGCTAGATGACAAGTACATAAAGATTTATTTTACTATTCTTTTACTTTGAGGTGACTCTGAAAATTCCCAGAGCCACTGAAGAGTTTTTTGGCAGGAGAATGCCAACAGGAAATTGGCATCTGAGGAGGTGCAGCCCTGGAATAAGAAGTCTGGATAGGAGGCAGTCAAGGAGGTTCACTCTGCGAGTGTCATTGGGAGGGTCTGGATATGGACAGTATGAAAGAGAACAGTAGAACTTGATGACCTACTGGTTGAGAAAGCTAAAGAAACAGGAATCAAGGTTGACTCTCAGGTTTCAGGCTTAGATGGCTGCGTGGTGGGGCTGTTTACCAAGCAAAGGGATTCAGAAGAGATTAAAGTTAGGGGTGAAGGAGTATAGGTGCTATTTCTGACAGGTTGCATTTGAGGTGTCTGTGGAACATCCAGAGCTTAGGAAAGAGGCCTGCAGTAGAGATGGGGTTTTGGCAATTTTCAGCTGCAGCATAATTTCCATGGAAACATGTAGAGTGTAGGCACAAGAAAATGTTCCCTTCGTGTGCAGGCACTTCTTATCAAATCAATAAATTACTCTCGGACTGTTTCAACACTAAAAACTCAAAGTGGCTTAATCAAGGAGAAGAATATAAGAGAACTAAATAGTAGTATATGATATCCGTTTCTTCTTAATTTCCATTTTGAACATGTGATAACTCTTCAAGGTTTAACTGCATTATTTTCCTTTTTCTTTAGTGTTGAAAGTGTTACAGATGCCCCCCTTTTTTCCTTATTGACCCCCTCCTTCCCACTCCCACCCCCCTCCTGCCTTCCCCAGCCTAGTGTCCATGTGGATTGGTTGTGCACATATGCATATAGGTTCTTTGGTTTATGTCTTCCCTCCCCTCCACTCCCCATCCTTCTGAGATTTGTCAGTCTGTCCCTATAACTGCATTATTTTCTTGTTTCATTTTCTTTCCCCTAATAAAAGAGTCTTCAGAGAACACTAAGGCTTTAATACATTAGGAGGGAAATATCTCATGTGAAAGATCAAATTTTACTTTTTCTTTTTTACCTTGCCTTTCTTCTATTTTGTTCTTTCCATGTTGTCTATGGTATTGTAAAAACTGAAAGAAAACACCCAAACCAGCTAGGCCTAGGGCCACAGTTCATGCCACGATGGGTTGACATGTGTATTCAGAAGGAGCCACGGAGCCACTGGTATAAAAAAGCAGTTTGTGTCAGAGACGGACTTATGCTTCGGAGCAGGGTAAAGAGAAGAAAACTCAGCCCCTGCGGCATTTGTTGCTGGGGAAGCGTCAGGCCATCTGCCAGGCTTTAATAAAACACGACAACAACATTTTGGTTTGAAGCACAGAATGATTTTCCAAAGTGAAAATAAAGTTTGTCAGCAATTAAGGCTCTTAAAGGTCTTTTTCAAAACATGTATTTTTATCGTCAGCATTTATATTCAAATATGAAGTAAAGGACATTAATACCTTTGTTTTCCTGGTCTGGGCTTATTCTTAAAATCTTGTGTTGACTGCCTGATTCAGACTCCTCACTTGCCATTTGAAGCCTCCATAATTTGGCTTCACCCAAAACCACTTAAATCAGAATTTTGACGGGTTGGACCCAGGCATCAGTTCTTTGAAAAATCATCCCCTTTGAAGCTCACATAAGAGCTCTGCAGTCAAGGTCGAGACCCACTGTGGTTTCAGTATTAGAGAGGAAAAGACAGCCAAGGCATTTGGATTATCTATGGTCAGAAGTAAATGTAAGAAATTGCTAAGCTCTGGAAACGGCCCAGTGTCCATCAGTAGATGAGTGGATAAAAAAGCTGTGGTACATGTACACAATGGAGTACTATGCAGCTGTAAGAAAGAAAGATCTCTTATCCTTTGAGATGACATGGATGGACCTGGAGAGCATTATGCTAAGTGAAATAAGCCAGTCAGAGAAAGACAAATACCACATGATCTCACTTATTTGTGGAAAATAATGAACAAAATAAGTTGATGAACAAAATAGACCCAGAGACATAGAAAGGAGTATGGTTCAGACTGACAAACCTCAGAGGAGGGGGGCGGGGAAATGGATGAGATAAACCAAAAAACTTATATGCATGTATGCATAACCAATGGCTATAGACAACAATGCTGGGGGGTGGGGGTGAGATGGGGAGGATGGTGTCTAGGGGAAAAAAAGGAGAAACATCAGTAACAAAAATAAATAAATAAAAATTGAAAAAAAAGAGGAGTAAATGTAAGAAATTAAAGTTTTTCAGAGCGTCAGGTGGCAGCGATGATGCGCGTGCGTGTATGTGAGTGTGTGATGTGCGTTGCCTCTCTCTGCCCCGGCTCACAGGTCCATGCGGTGCGGGTGTACGTGAACAGCTCTTCGGAGAACCTCGACTACCCAGTCCTGGTTGTGGTTCGCCAGCAGAAAGAGGTGCTGTCCTGGCAGGTTCCTCTGCTCTTCCAAGGACTGTAAGTAGGTCTTGCCCAGACAACTTTGCTACATTGTTTTCTTTCAATGGCCTACAACCGAATTGGTCTTTGCCCTAGCGAAATGAGAAATCCAACATTTGGAGTGGTGACATACTATCCATGCTCAGTGCAAACGATAGTCGTGGTGCGTACCCTGATGTGTTCAGCTCTGTTCAGTGTCCATCCCCTTGGAAGTTCACCTAAGAACTCTGCCTAGATGTGTAGCATCTGGAAGACCTTTTACCATTTTAGTCCTATTCAGTAAATGTTCTGTAGCTCTTGCTTGGTTAGTGGGTCATCCACTGAGGACAGGGCTAGGCCCAGCAGTCAACTTAAATGAGTGACACTTCTTCCATTCTTCAAAATGCCCACCAAGTGGCCTTCTTTATTCCATAGTATTTATTGAGCACAACTAGGTGATAGGTGCTGCAGATACAATAGTGGGGGAAAAAACACCACACAACAAGTCCCTGCCCTTGTGGAGTTTATATTTTCACAAAGGAAACTATGCAAGGCACTATAGCACTATAAGAAAAAACCCAAAAGGCATTCAGACATGGACATATAGTATATGTTACATTGTTTTTAAAGCATGAGGAATTTGAGAATTAAAATATTGACGTCGACCCTGAGACTTTATTTATGCTCCATGTAATAAAAGCTTGAAGAATGGAAAAATGGAATCACCTGGTTGTTTTACCAGAACAGGTTTCCTTTTATAATGTGATATTTTTCCTCATTAATTAGGAGGATGGTTTGTGTAATGTAGACACCACCTAAGTGAACAGGTCAGCACTAAACAAACCTCACATCCCTGTTATATGTCACAGAGCCCTACGCTAAAAACACCACCTCTAAAATCACCATCAGTCGGTCCAGTCTGAAATTTTAAGTATAAGGGCTTGAAAACAAATTTGGGGAGAAATGAAATGCAGTAGGCTTCGTTCGCTGCTTGTTCATTGAGTCTCTCATTCTGGCTGGGTTTTCCCTCCACTGGCTGCTACAGGTACCAGAGGACCTACAACTACCAGGAAGTGAGCCGCACCTTATGTCCCTCAGAAGCAACCAATGAAACAGGACCGCTGGAGCAACTGATATTTGTAGATATAGCATCCATGGCACCCCTGGGTGCCCAGTACAAACTGCTGGTTACCAAGATCAAGCACTTCCAGCTACAGTAAGCAGGACTCCCTGGGGCCTTTCTCTGTTCACTCATCTGCTCTTCCTGTGCTTATGCATGCTCAGTCCATCTTCCTTCCTTACAGATCACACTCTAGAAGGAAGTAATCTACTTGGCATATTGTCTTAGCACCTTCTGACCTCTCCTGTTCACAGCTGGGCTGCAGGGCCCTGTATATTCTGTGCAGTAGGGAGGCAGTAGGAGACTAGTGCAGAGAGGAAGGGCAGTTGACCTCGAAGGTGTGTCTGGGTGAGGGCCCAAGCAGGAGTCACTGGTGACTGGGTATTTTGTATTACTCACCAGTGCCACTCCCCTAGTTTTCTTTTGTTTTAAGGAAGATCTTAAATTATCTTTTTCTATCCTTATTGCTATTCCAGTTTTCTCCTTCCGGGTAGAAAATAATATGTTGTGTGGCTTTGTTCTTTGTGCAAAAACTAATGACTATTTCTTTCTTCTCCTTGCACTTCCATTCTTTGTGATAAAATTACCTGGGATACACAAGTTCAAACTGTTTATGTTAGAGGTGGAGAATAACAAATCCAGTTGTGGCATTGTCCCCAAGGGATTTGTTCTCGCCCAAAGATTACTCTTGTAAAACATTGTGTAAATCTGTGTGAAAATGTAAACAGAAAGGCTAAGACTGTTCCTTAATGAGGCCAGAAACTTCAAGGACTTTTCTGCATTATCCTACTCTAAACTCAAGGCTTTTTAAGGGTTCAAACCATTTCCTTTTCTCTCAGTGTTTTAAATCAATTTTAAATGAAAATACATGGTGGAGCAAAAGTAGGTTTTCATTTGTGAGTATGTGAAACACAGAGTTTATTCTTGTATTATTTATTAATTATTGTATTATTTTCCATATGAACAACTGTAAAACTACTTTTTGCCCCACCCTGTGTTGTTAAATTGGTTATATAAAAATTAAAATTTGTACTCATTAAAAGCAGCATTAGGAGAACAAAAAGATAAGCCATAGAGTAGGAGAATATATTTCCAACACACATAATGGCAAAGGACTCATATGCTGCAGAATATATAAAGAACTTACATGCATGTATGCATGACCAATGAGCATAGACAACAAAGCTGGGGAGGGGGTGGGAGGAAGGTGTCAATGGGGGAAAAATGAGAAACATCTGTAACAAAAACAAATAATATATAAAAAATTTTAAAAAATAAAAGAATTCCTACAGAGCAATAAGACAATGACAGGCGAACTTCTGGCTGCTGTACCCATTTACCACCTACCTTTCTGTGGCTCTGGCTTCTAGTGGGCAAGAACCTTTGCGCCTATGAGTCTGGGCACTACTCTGGGTGAAGGCTGGCACCCACAGGGCTACAAGTCTATAAGTCCAGACACAGGTCCAGACTCAACTTCACTGGAACAAATAGATTTTCTTAGGCAAAAAATGTGGCAATCTCAGGAACAGAAACTATACTTAAGAAGACAATTCTGTGACCTGGATCTCTCACTAGAACTTTGGGGCAGAGAAAGGAGAGTCTCAGAATAGTTACCCAATAGGGATATATATATGGATTCAAATATGCCAAGTAAATGGATTCAAATCTGCCAAGTAAAGGCATAGCATATCAAGTGGGATTTTTTAAAAGAAAATTAAATATGTGTTGCTTACAAGAGTACAACCTTAAATAAAAGAACATATAAATGTTGTAAATAAAAATATAGTAAAAGAAATTCCACACTGACGTTAACCAAAAGAAAGTTGGTGTAGTATATCAATATTATACAAGATATTCCTTAATGCAAAAAGCATTATTAGAGATAGAGGGACATTTCATATTTCTAAAACAATCATTCACTTGGAAGACTTAAATTTAAACTCTAGATTTGTATGCATCCAGTAATATCAGTTCAATATGCAAAACAAAAATTACAGAATGAATAGAACTGGACAAATCTACATTCTTTGTGGGAGCCTTGTCTACAGCTGATAAAATAAGCAGACAAAAATGTTAAACATACACACACACACACACACACACACAGTAATTAGAATAGGCTAATAGGCAAGCTATGCCTCACGGGCTGGTTACAGATTTTTGTAAATAAAGTTTTATCAGAATACAGCTCTACCCATTAATTTACATATTGTGCATGCCTGCTTTCATGCTACAATGGCAAAGCTGATTAGTTGGGATAGAGTCATTATGGCCTGCAAGCCTAAAATATTTTCTCTGTGGCCCTTTAAAAAAAGTTTTTCCACTCCTGATATAAAAGAACAGATACATGATTAACAAATTTGAATTAATTGATGTATTTAGAAAACCGCATCCCAAAATTATAAAAACCTAACCTTTTCAACTGCACTTGGAACATTTACCAAAATTGCCAAGTTCTAATGCATATCTTGATAAATTTCAAAGGGTTGAAATTCTTTATATTGAAGTGAGATAAAAATAAACCACAAGATGACATATAGAAAATCATCAATGTTTGGAAATTAGGTAGTCTACTTCTAAATAATTTATGAGTCAAAGAAGAAATCACAATAAAAATTAGAAAATATTTTGAACAAATAATGAAAATATGACATATTTAAACTTCTGGGATGCAACTAATCACTGCTTAAGGAAAATGCATAGCTTCAAATGTATATGTTCGAAAAAAAGAAAGGAATCAGTGTAAGTATCTATTTCACAAAGTTGGAAAATGAAACTCAAAAGAAATAATAATATAAAAGCACCAAAAACTGATATAGAAAACAAATCCACAATGGACAAAATGAACCAAACCACAAGTCGATTATTTGAAATGACTAGTATTTTTTATGCCTGTTTTGTGTTGTTGTTGTTTTTTAATAAAAATGACTGACAAGCATATTGGGAAAAAAATAGGCAAAAGACTTGAACAAATACTTCACCAAAGCTATTCAAATGGTCCAAAAACACAACCTCACTAGCTACCAGCAGTACAAATTAAAATAACAAGTTTTCACTACAACTACCAAATTGCTATAATTTAAAAGGACTGGCAATGCAGTTCCACTGGTAGTAATATACCCAACTCCTAGATATATGATTGTCGTATTCATTTAATAGAATATGACATAACAATAAAAATGAACAGACTATTACTATACCTAACAACATGAAAAAAATCTCACAAACACAATATTGAGCAAAAGAAGCCAGACAAAAGAAATTCATATTGTTTGATTTCATTTATATAAAGTGTAAAAACAGACAAACTGTTTTGTAATTTAGAAGTCAGGAGAGTGATATCTTTACAAAGCAAAGAGGAAGTACATGGTTATGTTTGCCTGGTGAAAATTCATTCAGATATATGCTCACGATTTGTGCACTTTTCTATGTGTGTTATACTTCAATACATTTTTTAAAATCAGCCCTGGCCAGTTTGGCTCAGCGGTTAAAGCGTCGACCTGCGGTCCCGAGAGGCCCGGGTTCGGTTCCCGCTAAGGGCGCGTACCTCGGTTGCAGTTTGTCCCCGGCCCTGGTTGGTCGTGCGGGTGGCAGCCACTCGATGTGTCCCTTTCACATCGATGTTTCTCAGTCTCTCTCTCTCTCTCTCTCTCTCTCTGTTCCTGTCTCTCCCTCCCACTCTACCAGAACAAAAAAAGGAAAAATGTCCTCGGGTGAGGATAAAAAATAAAAAAAATCAGAATATGTTAACATAGTACATACTACTTTTCTGAGGCTTATTTTATGATCAGAATATTCTGTTCTATTATAAAGTGCTCCTTAAATTTGTTAAGGCAGTTTATAAAAAAGTCTGTGGCCAGCAGAGGTGCTAATGGGAATCACATGTTATCTGGTCTCCTTTACACCCCTTGACAGTGTATACCCATAGAGACAGATGGATGAATGGATGGTCAGAAGGATGGAGAATTAGTCATAGCACTTTTTCCAAGTCCTCCATTAATTTTGGCATAGAAAAAGATGACATGATAATTCAAGAGCAAAGAACCACCCTCCCACCCACCACCACCCCCAAAAAAGACAGGAAAAGATATTCTGGTGGATAAGATCCACCCAGAACAATTAAATCAGAGTCTCTGTGAGGGAGGTTTGAGCATTGGTATATATTTTCTTAAAGTTTCCTAGGTGATTCTAATGTGCAGCTGGGAGTAAGAACCACTACCTTTAAGCAATTTCTAAATTTTGTTTCATTGTTTCAATAACTAAATCTATTTATGATATTAAACAATATGAGAATTCATGGTTATACATTTGAAGGAGGTAGCAGCACATTACTTGAACAGAGTGCAGTTCCAACTTTCAGCCTTGACTTTACTAATTGGTTTCCATGTCTCTGACATGTCACGGTCATCTGGTGGCAGTGTACTTAAATTTTAGGGCCAGTTTTCTGTGGGGTTAATTAAACTCTTTGGAGAACTGAATTCTGTGAAACTGAAGTCATAAGGTCACAACTCTGTGTAAGTGTTAATGAATGGTATGCACGCTGGCGAAACTGCAAATCCATTCCCTCACATTGTTTTCTGGCTCTGCCTCTTGTAATGTGACTTGATCTCAGGACTCAGATACTCAGAGCATTTCAAAATTCACATAGTTACTAGGGTTTTTATGAGAATGAGATAAACCTAAGAAGAGATGGTAACTGAAATATATGTATCTCTTCCTCCCTGGCTCGGGATTGTCCAATACAAATCTTGCTGGTGACCCCAGAAACCCAGAAGATAGTGGTAAAGGGCAAGAGATAAAGACTGTGTTGACATCTGGACTCTAGGTACTGAGAGAAACAGTGAAGAATCAACTCAAAATTTCTAACATTGCAGTTTCTGTTGTATGTTTTTGAGTGGTAGACTAGAGGTATATGAAACATATTCCAGGATTTTTTTTTTTCTAGAATCATAAGTTTTTAAGAATGGAAGTACTTTAGGGCATCTAATCTATTCACCTCATTTTTACAGATGAGCAAATTGATGCCCAGGGAGGTTAAGTGACTTGTCCAAACTCACACAGCTAGGAAAGACAAAATCAATACTAGACTCTAATTC